AGTCAGTGACATAAGATTTGCATCTTCCCACACTAGCTAAAATGTACAGTTAGTCTGCCAGAGATACATTAATGTTTGAAGCACTTCTTTCCGATTATGAGTAAATATAAAAACTACTCTTCAGGCTTCAAGCTAAAAATGATTGTGAAGAGGTAGATGATGTTCAGAGTCGGACTGTCTAGAAAGAATTCAGGGGGCAGAGGTTCTCCTAGTCAAGAGATTTTATTATCGCAAAAGTGGTAGTGATGGGGTATGGGCCCAAGCCAAGACCTCTGCCCTCACCCCAAGAAGAATTTGGGTCCCATCTATCTACCAGCCCTAGAAAAAACCCTTGGATTGTCCTTGAATTCTCTTACTTGATCAAGAAAGTCTCTGGTGGTTGACTGAAGCTATAGTCCCATCAACTAGCCTTTCCTTATTGCCAATCTCCAAATTCTTTGTTACACTAATTGAGCCTAGCCCTCCACTGTCCGTTACTTCCAAATGGCCCAGGGCTCCTTTCCATCCTAGATCCTATCTAGGTCCCATTCAACCTCCCAGTTACTCCCATCCAGATCCTCTCCAGACCCTCCTCCAGGCACCCCAAACTACTTGGCCACTCCTAGATTCATCCCATAGTCCTTCCATATATAAGATCCATCCTGGCTGCCATTTAGGGGTTGAGACTTCCTCATGCCCCCCAGTCTTTACAAGCATCACAAATGCTTAGATTCCTCAAGAGTCTGGCCAATATGTCTAATTTTTAATAAATCTTGTCTTTGGCTGAAAAAAGGCGTGGGTCAAATTCATTAAGGCAGGACCTACATGTCATGATTTTGGGGTCCCAGCACCCATAAACCTCTAAACCTCAACAGTGGGCTAGTCTTAGGGAAAGACTAGCAGCCTGAAATAAGACAGGGGCTTACTTTTATACCCAAGTTTTGGGCACCCAGCTAGGAGTGGGGGTATGCTCCTACATGGGAAGTTAACTACAGGGAAGGATGTCAGGAAAGGGGAAGCAGATGTGTTAGGGGAGGTAGGAAAAGAGACACTGGTGTGTTGGGTGAGTACTTTACAAAACAGTTCAGGGATGTGGTCATAAAGCAGGGAAGTTAACTTACAACATTCAAGGATGTGGGCACAAACCACAGGGGTTAGTTTAGATTTAGGCAAGGCTCTCATTGTTGGGTAGAAGCCAGCCACATCAACTGTGTTCTTCGAACAGCATGGAAACAGGGCTTTTGGGAAGACAGTTTTCAGTGAGTGAAAAGTTGGTGCAAAAAAGGGAAGGAAGAAAGGATAGGCTTCACATAATGGTCGCACCCTACTTTTTGGGAAAAAAAAAATTGTCATAAACTCTGAGACAATTATGTGGTGAAGTACAGCATGGGTTTTCTAGACTCTGAGATTAGCTCTCTGCCATTACAACATATCGCCCCTTGTTATTTAAATGTAAGCCATCGTAATCCACATTTTTAAAAAATAGTATACACAACACTAAAAAAGATGCAATTAGACTACTATATTTTAATTATCATGTTAGCCAGAAATTCAATTCAATAAGTTTTAAGTAAGAGACTACAATGGGCTCAAAACTGCTAGGCAATCTTCACTGGCAAGCTAAAGGCTCTGTTCCATAACATATTACTGAGCAGATATTTTGAGGGCCTAAATTAGCCTTCAAGATCAGTCCCCTAGCAACTGATTTCTTTATACCTTCAATTTCAAATCAATCATAGATAAATTCTGCAATCTGCCAATTATCTGAGTCCCTGACTTCTTTCACCTGCTTTGCTCTTATTGGCCATTTTCCCCTATTCATCAAAGCTTTGAAACCAGGAAAAAGATTAGGATAGAAAACTCAAAATAGTCAATTTTTATTACTGCTACAAAGATCTCCAAATTATTGGAAAAAAGGATAAGATTATTCTAATAACTTCCTAATTGGTCTCCCTATTCACAATTTCTCTTCTCTTCCATCTATCCTGTTGCTGAGGTTCATAGGGACCCCAGAATATTGGGGTATAATGTCATCTGGAAAGTATTCACTCAGGCTGTCTCCAAATCACGTATAGGTGTTATATTGGGGGTTACACAACACAACATACCAAACACAATACACCAAGCATGCTCCTTTGCCCCTGAGAGACAAAGCTCAAGGGAGACCCCACCTTAAGGGAGATGAGTCTTTAAGGGAGATGCCCAACAAGGGAGATTCCAACTTAAGGAGGATACCCACTAGTTAGAAGAGGCCAGGGATTCTTATAGAGGAAAACCTGCTGTGGGTGGGGGAGATGAGGTAACCAAGGACAGAAGTTCAGAGTTTTGGTCACTATTATTCCATTGTTTAGCTCAGGGCAGAGGGGAACCAGTTAGTTTCAGGATTTCATTGGCCAGCCTACTAGTATTGGTCTCCTAATGTGGCTTTCAGTGGCACTTAACATAATGGGCTTCTCACAGACCATTTTATTCGAATTTCATCTTTCCCCTCAAGAAGTAGGCGCCCAAATTCATCTGGGAAAAAAAGCAAGAGTTATATATTCCTCATCAATGTGAATCACTGAAAAAATAATCTTCCTAAAGCACAGACCACGTGAGAGCCACAGTCAACAAGCATTTACCAAACACCTACCATGTGCCAGGTACTGTGCTAAGCACAGGGGACACAAGGAAAGGCATAGGACAGTGCCTGCCCACAAGGAGCTCACGACTATAGTTGAAAAGGGGGAGGTGTAAAGGGGAAGCTTCAAGGTTACCTGGCATGGGGGCCTGATCAATTCCTGTGGTTAGAGTGGGAAATGATTTGAGGAAGTGAGTTTCAAAATTGATTTCATCTTGAGGAATGAGGAGTTTCTGCAGATCATGAAGTGCAAGATAACAGCCACGTCACTTCCCCATCCAAAAAGTATTCAGTTGCTCCCTACTATCTCTGTGAGAAATACAAACCCCTCAGCCTTCACAATGTAGATTCTAGACCACTTTTCAAGATTTATTTCATAGTCATTTCATTACAAACTGTCCTACTCTCTGTTAGGCTTTTAGAGCTCTTTCTATGCTGGCTATCCACTCGAATACCTACCTAAAACCTCTTAGCTTCCCACAAGGTTTAGCTCAGGTAACACTTCCTATTCAATATTTCTTGATCCATGCAGCTGTTAGTTCTCTTTCTCTATTCAGAATACTTTATTTATTGTGCACTCCATTGTACATCCCCAGTAGAGTGTCAACTGTTTGAGAGTAGAGACTGTTTTTTGTCTTCCATCTTCAGTGTCTTACACAGAGGCTCACAACCATTCATTTTTTTTTTAAACTGAACTGAATTAAAAGTTAATCCATCTGCAGATAAAAATGAAGCTGGTTAGACTGAGGTTAAATCTAGACTAGCTAAATGTATCTAGAAACAAAATGTCAGTGTCTCCTTTCCATTTTTTAAAAGAACTACTAATGGGCAAGATGGGATCTTTCCTCTCCACGTGATTTTTTCTCCCTAATAGTGACTCTGACACATCATACAACACCCCTTCCCAAAGATGGGGTATGGGCTCTGGAAACTCCCCCTCCCTCCTGAACTTCCCCTGGGCTTTCCCATATGGCCCAGGTCCCTGGTGTTCCCTAGGGAACCTGGCCATTCCCAGTTAATCCTTTTAACTGCCCTTTCATAGTGGCCTTCATTGTCTGCACCTGGCCCCACCCTAGACCACCACTCCTTAATTCCATCTAGACCCTTTCTCTGTTACCTCCCAGTCACCCCACTCCTTGACCAAAGTGTCCATCTTGTCCCCATCAAATGCTCAGACTCCTTAAGAGTCTGGTCCACTTCTAGGACTGAAAGAAGGCTTTAGTAGAATTCTTTCGAGGCAGACCCTTGCCCATTTGCCCTTGAATTTCAAGATTCCCAGCACCCCTGGACTGCAACGTCAATACCTAGAAAATAAATCACTAACCAAATTCGCCTTCAATTGATTCAAGTTAAAGACGGATGGTGTGTGATAGAAACTCTCTATTTTTGAGGATGGATATTAATATTCCAACACAAGGATTTCTATGGGAAGATAATGATGTGTTGGGACCTAGGAGCCCAGATCCCCTACAAACACCTCAGTAACACTCTCTCTAAGAATGCACCAAAGTTTTGCATTAATTGTAGCAACTTCTTAGCTTGTCCTTCAAAATCTGTCCTGACTACAGTCAAGTCAGTGCCAGATAAGTGTAAAATCTGGGCAACATTCTTTTCAAAAAGATTTCTGGCTTTTCACTTACAAGGTGCAGGGGTAAGAAAGATAGTTGTCTTCTTCATTTGTACATTGGAAGGAAAGAGTTGATTTCCAAATACTCTTTGCTACTTCTCCTTAGTTAGCAAAGAGAAACACCTACAAGAAAGACCACCAGAATTCTGCAGAAGCTCTGAGCAGACAAGCCTGGGTAGGACAAGACATGCAATCAACAGAGAGCAGAAGGCAGGGCCAGACTAGGGACCACACAGCACTCAGGCAGCCCCCACCTGAGGTACAGGAGGCAGTATCAGACCATGGGCTAGGTGTACCACTGTGTCTAGGCCATCCCATGCCCAAGCCACAGCAAAAAGAAGCTGCTTTAAGCACAATCAACAACATCTGGTTAAGGCCTGTCAGTCTCACAGATAATGATGGAATCAACTTCAGGTTTGGAATTGTGTAAGGAAAATGAGAAAAATAAGGAGTCAAGGCCAAAACCTAAGCTGAACCACCAGAAAACTGAGCTAAAACCCAGGAATTCCTACAAAAATCATTTTTAAAGAATGGAACCAGAGCTTACTTAGTATAGTATCCCTGTAAAAAGAATACTATCTTACCCAAAGGAAACAAAAAGTCTATTTAATTGTGAAAATGGATAACAGCTATACGCAAAAAAAATTTAATCCAAACTCGACAATAAGAAAAGAAATCAAAAGGGAAAAAAGCAGTCTATGGAAAATGGAAAAAAGTTAAATTAAAACATCACAAACTGAACAAAGATAGAAAAATTACTATAAACGGACGCACCCACGCCGTAGCCTTCGTAGAGTTTCCGCTCACGTTCCATAGTCTGCTTGATGACTGCTTCTCGAGGAAAGTGCCTCCTTCCCTGTCTGCCTTTGATGCTGTTCTGCAACTCAATCTGCTCCAGTTCACTGTTGAACCGATGTAAATAACTTTGGAAAAAAGAAAAGGATTGGAACTGTGAAATTTCCATTATTCTGCAATGAAACTCATGCTCAGCATTCCTTGTCCCAATCAAGTTTAACTTACAATGTTTATTTAATAGTTGACACTTAAATCACCACAGATGGCTGAGCTTGGAATGAGAAGTACTAGGTTGGAGGCCAAGTTCTGCCAATAACTTCCTAGGACTTTAAGCAATTCACTTAACCTTTCAAGGCTTCTAATCCCACATTTGTGAAATGATGGACCCACACTGAACTGTCTCTAAGGCTTCTTCCAGATTTAACATTTTAGGAAAAGAAATAATCATAGCCCATGTATACATATAATGGCTTACAATTTTACAATGCACTTCACATGTTAATTCATTTGCTCTGTCTAGTGAGAAAGAAATAAAATTAATACCCCCACATTACAGATAAAGACACCAAAGTTCAATAAAGTAAAATCACTTGATTCCAGTTACAAAAGCATTAGTCACAGAGTCTTGACTCAGATCCAGGTATTGAAAGCTACAAAGATGGAGGCCACAAGCAGCCAAGAATAAAAAATAAGTCTTTATTTGATCACTTAACTGCTTTCAATGCTAGTTATCAGGCCTCCAGATTTGGAAGGCATGGGGAGAAAAAAATACTTGAACTAGTACTTGAACCCATGGAAGCCAATGAGATTGCCCCAAATGCAGAAAGAGAAGGTCAAGGAGGGAGCCCTGGAGAATACTCAGTGAAAGTCTGAGAAAGAGTAGTCAGATGGGTAGTAGAACTAGAGAAGAACTACTCGGAAAGCCAAGGAAGATTATGAACAGGAGAAAGGCAGACCTCACAGTATAAGAACTCCAAGCAGAGGACTGAGGAAAATCTCTTTGACTTGGCAGTTAAGAGATCATTAGTAGCCTTTGGAGTGGAGGGGCTGGAAGCTGAACTTTAAAGGACAATTGGGTTATCAGATGATGAGGAAGCAGAGGAAAAGGAGGGCAAGAGGATTCTTTCTAGTCAAAAGAAGGATGGTTAAGATCATGAAACACTTTGTTAAAGAGGGTGAACAACAGCCCATGTTTCTGGAAAAAGGCAATAGAAGGAGAAACTGAGGCAAAATCAAGAGGCAAGGATGAAAGGAGCAGGTTCCTGCGGGAAAGAGTGCAGAAGGATCAAGGGCTTAGAGAAAGTCTTCTCCTCTGGCAAGAAGAGCTGTCTCTCAAAAAGAAAAGTAAAAACTAGCAGTATAGGTGAATATGTCTATGACTTTTGAGATACAGTTTAGGGGGATTCAGGGGGGCAGAGCCAAGATGGCAGAGTAAAAAAGCAGTGACTTGAGCTCTCCCCCTCCAAATACCTGTAAAAAATGACTAAAATTCAAGAGCAGCAGAACCCACAAAAAGACATAGTGAAATAAATTTCCACCCCAAGATAACCTGGAAGGTCCACAGGAAAGGTTTGTTGCACTGGGCTGAGAAAGAAGAGCAGCTCGGGGTGGGCAGCACAGGCAAAGACAGGGCTCCAGCAAACCTGCAGCAGGCCTCAGGGGACTGAATCACGAGGCAGCTGGGGTGGTTTCCAGACTTTTCAACCCACAAATGCCAAAGACAACTAAGAAGATCAGTGGGAAAGGTCTGTCGGATCTGAGGGAGAGAGGAACCAGGTCTGGTCCCAGCCCTGGCGCAGCTCCAGGGCGACCATGGCGGCTGCTGCTTCTGGAGCTCTTGGCCCACAGATAGTGTGGATATCAAGCAGCCGAACAGAGGGGGATTGCACAGATCTCTTTTTGCTGGTGCTGAGGCAGGATTCTCTTGCTTTCTGCCCGTACTTGGATCTGGGTGGTGGTCCTGGGGTGAGGAGGAGTGCTGGTGTGGCAGAGGTGGACAGGGAATCCTCACAGTTTCAAGGCAGAAAAGAGTGCTTGTGGTCACTCACAGACCAGAGCCCAGGCCAGGAAAGAAGTAAACACCTCTCCTTTGATCATACCACCTTGGAAGAACGGAAAATTTACAGGTCCCTAGAAGTACCTCTGAAACCAGTTGCACAAAACCCTCGAAGCTTGGGACAGTACACTGGAAGCACAGCCCTACCTTAACAAAGAGTTAAAAAGTCAAATAATTGGTGGGCAACATGAGCAAACAGAGGGAAAAAAACTAAGACTATAGAATCTTACTCTAGTGACAAAGATCGGGAAAAAAACTCAGACTATAGAATCTTACTCTAGTGACAAAGATCAAAACATACAATCAGAAGAAAACAACAAAACCAAAGCTCCTACATCTAAAGCCTCCATGAAAAATATGAAAGAGCTCAAAAAGGATTTTGAAAAATCAAATAAGAGAATTAGAGGAAAAAATGGGAAAGAGAAATGAGAGTGATGCAAGAAAATCATGAAAAATGAGCCAACAGCTTGCTACAGGAGACCCAAAAACATACTGAAGAACATAATTCCTTAAAAATTAGAACGGAGCAAATGGAAGCTAATGACTCTTTGAGAAATCAAGAAATTATAAAACAAAAGGAAAAGAATGAAAAAATAGAAAACAATTTGAAATATCTCATTGGAAAAACAACTGACCTGGAAAACAGATCCAGGAGAGATAATTGAAAAATTACTGGACTACCTGAAAGTTATGACTGAAAAAAAAAAAAAAAAAGACTAGAGATACAGTTTAGGGGAAAAGAGGGACCTTGTGATAACTGCCTTTTACTTTCTTAGAAGGTAAGGACATCAACTGACAGAGACTGGTGGGGGAGATAATGCAGGCTTGAGGAGAGATGAGAAGGTCTGGTAAGACCACCAAGAGCAATGGAATCATCAAAGAATAAAAATTTACCACGCAACAGTCAAATTGTAATTTCCTCCAGTATCATTCAGCAGTCCAAGAGTAAAGAAGGCAGATGGTGGGGGTGATAATAGTAGAATCATGAATGGTGGCAGAACAAGCAAATGAGAGACCTACGAAAGGATGGTGCACAGCTTAACTCATCAAGACTGCCAACAGAAAAAAGGGAAGTCAGACTACAGGCAATCTACTAGAACAGGTGGGAAGAAACTGGGAGGCAAACTGAGGATAAAGAATAAGGAGAGTGGGAGGTAGAAGAGAGATAGGGAGGAAGAAAGGCAGGGAAAATAGTCACTGAAACATTCTTAAATGAACAGAGCAGAAGGAAGGCCAGAAAGAATAACAAATAAGCAGGAGAACTTTCAGAGTTAAACGCTGAATTTATTCTAAAAGAAAAATCAAGCCATATATAATGGAGATCTGGAGTTTCACATACAATTCTCTTGCCATATGCTTTTATGCATACTGAAATGCCAATTTTAGTGTTTAAGTTCTAGTGTTTAATATATATACTCATATATATTATACACACACCCCCCCCTTTTTTTTTTTTTTTAAAGAATAGGTTTGGGGATGGGGCAGCTAAGTGGCACAGTGGATAGAGCTCTGGTCTTGGAATTAGGAGGACCTGAGTTTAAATCTGGCCTCAGACACTTGACACTTATTAGCTATGTGACCCTGGGTAAGCCACTTAACCCCAACTGCCTCACCAAAAAAAAAAAGAATAGGTTTTGGTGAAGAGGGAAAGAGATGGAAGGAAAGGAGGCTATACTCCAAGAAGGGAATTTCAACGTGAAGGTGGGAGAGTGATGTGTGGGAGGCAGAGGGATTATGTAGCTTTAGTCTGTAGAAGCTGAATCTCATGAAATGGGAGGCCAAAGAGTTTGAGAAAACATCAACAGGTATAATGAAGTCTACAAGTTTGAAAACAAGGCATGAGTGGTAAACTAAGTCAGTAACTCAAACCATTTCAGAACAGAGAGAGAACCTGGAAAGTAGAAGACCACAGTGAAACAGATATAAATAGAGTGAAGCTCAGTGAAGGAGGGCTTTCAGAACAATGCTATCAGAGGAAGGGTCTGGCAATGACACTGGAGAGCAATGATTAGGCCAATCCTTCCTCTTGGCCCTGTATGTCCACAGTATGAGGAGTAATCTGGACTTGAGAGAGTGCTCATGGTTACAGTGTCTTCCAAAGAGAGACAGACATCCATTATCACAAGAAGATTAAAAAATTGTCAAAAAAAAAATATCTAAGGTAAAAGAAAATTGGTTAATGATCAAGTAATATTGTAGAACAGAGATATCAAATCACAGGGTCCACAATACTCTCAAACACTGCTGAAGCAGATAAAAATGTAATTGGGAAAAGTTACAAAATAAAAATACACAGATAACATTACATTTTAAAATCAAGTCAATATGAGGCCCTCAGGAATCCTTATATAGAGATTAGTGGCCCTCTTTTCTATATGTATTGAAGTTGCTCTTCTAGAGGGCACAATATATAGGGGAGGGCAAAGAACGAAAAGAAGTGTGTGACAATACTGAGTTGGGTGGGGAAAAAAACAAGGGGAAAGGTAGTAGGGGGAAAAAGAAATGACTCAATCACTGATATAAGGGAGCAGTAAGAACTAATTTTTAAGGTACCTTCCAAGGGCCTGTGATGACTAAGTGTAACATTGACACAGTCGTTCCCTCTCCAAATGTAAGGAAAATGGAAGAGTGGAAAGTGGGGGAGGGGCAGGGAGTTGAGGTCAAGAACTGGACTGAACTCAGATATGGTACCAGCACAGCAGTTATATCCCAAGATATCCAGGAGACAGGGCCCTCCCAAAAGACACCCTGCACATGAAACATGCATTTGGCTCCATATTAGGCCTGGTATAGTAGCCTTCCTGGGAATCAGTCCGATGATATATTTTTGCTTATGGTCTCAATCTTTCTGGCTCCTGGCATGGAATCTGAGACTTGGCCAGGGTGGCATTAGGTCCTTGCCTCAGATCCCAGGCTTTCTAGTGCCAGGTATGGTGTCTGTGGCCTTTTTAGTGTAAGCACTAAGGCTTTCCTTGAGTTTCCTTGCTAGTAAAGTTCTTCAATGGCAGGAATCATTTCTTCCTTATATATTGTTCCTTACCTCTCTATTAGTTCACAAGCATCTTTTTTTGTATACTCTCTTTTGTCAGGATCAAGGTGACTTTGAAACCATTGCAGTTTCTCACCTACAAGGAAAAGTGATAAATTATTGAAATGATACCAGCCAAACAATTAGAAGTTTCTTAAATAAACTATTAAAAACCCCAACATTAAAACATTTAATGTTACATTAAATCTACTTCAGTGTTAAAAATGTCTCAGAGTAGGCTAATGAAACTAATTTTGCAAAAACAATTGTGTCATATATTTCTTATCTAATAGGGAGGCAAACAATATATAGAAAAGTTTTAATTAAAGGACAGAAATGAGGCCAAAACACATGATTTTAAACTGTCCGTGTATGATTTACAGTCAATACCAAAGAGATGATAGATACCATATAGTGCTCCATCTGAGCACAATATCAAAGCACACCACCAATTTCTGGCTTAAGGATGAATCTAACAAGACTAATTGGGACAAGATGTCCTTGGTAGGTGGCAGATACAGAGCAGAGTACTGTGTCCACATCAGTATCCCCACATAGGTTATATTGGCTTCTCAGAGGGACCTGATCAGGTGAGATCTTCTTATCCCCCACCTTTCCCAACCATGCCTCCTACTCCCCACCTTTCAAACTAAAACTGATCAGAAGGCAAAGTATAGGAGACAGTTGGAGTGTTTGAGGTACCAAAGCACAATAGAAATATAAGATGGATCATCTCTTTCTTCCTAGTGTATTTGGGTACCAAGTGTCATCCTGTTTCCCTGGCAGACTAGTTTGTATGACCAGGAATGAATTAGTGAAGCATTAAGTGTTTGCTATGTGCTAAGCACTGGACATACAAACAGAAAATTAAAGACAGTCCTTGCTCTCCAGGAGCTCACATTCTAATAGGGAAGACAACAAAAAATGGAAGATTTCAGCTGCAAGTCAAATGGAAAAATCCCATGGTCCTTGGAGAGCAGAAGCAAAGCAAATATTGTTGCCTCTTTTTTAATATTTCCACTTATAAAATTATAATAGATTCTGATGTTGAACCATTAGACACTGCACATGACTTTGGTGGCAGAAACTTTCTTCTATGAATCTTTAGGAATTATGGGTAAAACAGTAATTGGAAGAGTACATGCCAGGTCCTGCATCTACACAGGAGATGCTTTCTAGGATAATGTCTGAGGGCCCTGGGCTAGAAGCATCATCATTCCTAAGGCTCTTGGGCTCAGGGTCCTGGCTCCCTCCATTAGGATATGAAAGAAGATGTTGGTCCAGGTGGTTGTGGTGATCTCCTTGCCTTCCCTGTGTGTGGTAATTAGTTGGCAGCTATTGGATGATAGCTGTGAGGGCTGGGCTGGACCCAAGACCGCTGGTGAGCTATGGCCATTGAGATGTGGTCTCCTCAGTCCCAGAAAAAAAAAAAGACCTAGATGACCAAGGCTCTGAAAAGGTGAAAGGAGAAACTCTCCCATACTACCAAGTATTGATTGATGCCTGTGACTGCCCGTATGTATCTCAGCAATCTCTGACAAAAGCTATGCAATTTAGGGCAACCACAGTTGGGGCAACCTTTGTTTGCCAAATCCACGCTAGACGATGTCAGCCATAAAGACATACTCCCCTATATATCCCATGACCAGGCTCCCATGAGCTACTTGAATGGTTTCTCCTAGATGAACAAATGAAAAATCCACCTTTCATGGCTCAGGAGATATTTCATGCTTGGCAGAAGAATTACCTCTGCCTAGAGCCAATAGTCTGTTAGGAAACAAGAACATGAGTATCATGGATATCTCCTTTTGCAGGGCATAAGGGAGAGCGAGAATTCTCACATCTACTGATGACACTACTATATCCATGTTAAAAACCTTCGTAATTATCTGTTGTTCTTTTTCAGTCGTTTCAGTTGTATCCAACTCTTTGTGACTCATTTGGGGTTTTCTTAGCAAAGATACTGGAGTAGTTTTCCATTTCCTTCTACAGCTCATTTTAAAGATGAGGAAACTGAGGCAAACAGGGTGACTTGCCCAGGGTCACTGAGCAAGGAAGGTTTTGAACTCAGATTCCTCAGAACCCTGAGGATTTGAACTCAGGTATTCCTGACTCCAGGCCCTGTGCTCTGTCCACTATGTCACTTAGCTTCCCTTTCACAATAAATGATGTGTTACATCTGCAGAAATGCAATGGAGGATTTGCAGTTTCTGTGGCACCATAAAGACAACCCAAGGCCAAGAAGGGTTGGGCAAGAAGTCTATATGATCCAAAGAGCCATTGGCTTCCCTGTACAGTCAGATCTCTGCAAACCTCAAGTGGACACATGTGAGTGATGTTCTGCTTTGAAAGGCCTGATGGTTCTCACTGATATCGAGATCACTCTGTTCTCCCTGGAAAGCAATACAGTAGACAGCCTTGGCCTTCACTGATAAGGCAGACCAGGATCTATGTCCTAACCTTGCCTCACCTGAAGAGCGACTTCCACCTCACAAATGCTGCAGAACATTGGTCTCTACTTTCACACTCCATGGGGCTGCTGTAGGTTTGGTGTCTCTAATAATTTGTTCCCTAAATATTTTCTCTAAAGACTCACTCTGAACTCCTCTAATGCCTGCTTTCCCTGCCCTATTCACACAATATGTGTCTTCCCAAGCAGCAAGTCTGGCTGCCATAGGAGACAGGAGAGATATACCCTATCAGGGCATATGAGGTTTGATCAATACATCCAAACATACTTGGGAGGGGGGGCGGGGGGGAGGCAGAGACAATGAATCTGACAGTTGTTTTTGTTCTCTATATATCTTGGATATCAGATCCTTATCATTAATATTGGAAACAGAGATTTTTTTCCCCCAATTAACCCTTTCCCTTGTTCTACTTACACGGAATTTATTCACACACAAAAAGCTTTTCGATTTCATGTAATCAAAATTTTCTATTTAACTTTCATGATGGCCTGTATATCTTGTTTGGTTAAGAATTCTCCTAAAGTTGTGAAAAGTAACTAAGGTAGTTTTCTTCTAATTTTATTATGGTATGAACTTTCATAATCTTTGCAACAAATATCTCTGATAAGGGTCTTATAATCAAGATACAGGGGATTTAAATAGTTTTCAAAATAAAAATCATAATTAATAACTATGAGAAAGATCAAGAAGAGAAATACAAATCCAAACAATTCTAAAGCTTCGCCTCACACTCAGTAAATTGCAAAAGACTAGGCATTTTCATTGGCTGCTCCCCATGCCTAGAATTCTCTTCCCCCCTCCTCTCTACCTCCTAGATGCTCTGGCTTCCTGCAAGCCTCAGCTAAAGTTTCATCTTCTACAAGAAATCTTTGCCAGTCCTTTTTAATCTTAGCACCTATCCTTTGAGATGACCTCTGACATACACTGTACACATCGTCTCCATTCCCCCCTCCCCCCCTTTCCTTTACTTATGGCTTTTTGTCTTTTTTGGCACTTAGAACTGTGGCTACCACACAGTAGGTGCTTAATAAATCCCTGCTGACTGTGATCCAGAGCACCAACCACTGAACATAGCAAGACCACTAAGGAGTTCAAAAACAGAAAGTGCACTCATACACACCAAAATATTCAATTCAGAGCAACACATTTTATAATAGCAAACAACTTATACAGCCAGGTAGTACAGTGATAGAATCCTGAGGCTGGTATCAGGAAGACATGGGGTTCAAATCTAGCTTCAGTCACTTACTAGCTGTGTGACCCTGGGCAAATCACTTCACCTCTCCCTGTCTCAGTTTCCTCAATTGTAAAATGGGGATTATAATAGCACCCACCTCAAAGGATTGTTGTAAAGATCAAATGAGAAAATATTTGTACAGTATTTAACACAGTACCTGGCATATTTAATAAATGGTGCCTAATAAATACCCATGCACTGACACATTTAATAAATGGTATTTATCCCCAGACCCCTGCAAAACAAACAAACAAAAAAAACTGGAAATAAAGGTAGATGCCTATTACCTAGGGAATGGTTAACAAACTGGAGGATATGAATACAAAAAAAAATTACTATATGGTAAGAAACAATTAGTGTGAAAAACAATCTAGAAAAATATGTAATGTGAAATAGGCAGAATCAAAAAGCAATATACAAAATGATTACAATGTAAATAAATGAACAACACTTTCCCATCCCCAAAAGAAACTAACGTCATATAATTATAATAATCAAGTTTGGCATCAAAGAGAAGAATGTGTCTCTCTTCCTTCTCTGCAGAGGTGTGACAATATGGGTGTGGAAAACGGGACATACTGTCAGTGCATATGCTGGTTGGTTTGATGAACTGCCTGTTTTGTCCCTCTTTCTGGTTTATTCTTTGTTAAACAGAATGGCTCGACAGAGTAGAAATAAAAGTGATATAAAAACAAAGAGATCAAAAGTGAGAGACTGACAATCAGGATCAACTTAGCTATTTTAGATCTCTAAGAGGTTTCTAAAGGTGCTATTTGAGTGCCTATGTAATGAAATCATGTCAATTTACAAATAAAAACAATTTCAGCAGAACAAAGCTAAAAATTCTTTAGTAAGATTTCATTTGAAAGATTTACTAAGCAGTTCACTTTGATAAAATGTTATTTTTCTAAGATATAAATTGTAAGGAAGGTACATTCATAATGTGCATAATTTGTAAATTATCTCTAAACTTAGTCTGAACACTAAATAAAGCAATCCACTTACCTATAATGGTTAGACGCAAAGCCTTTTCATTCTTCAACCTTAGAATGAAAAAAAAGTGTTAGGAAACCTCCAAGCAATTTTTAAAAATCAATTAAGAACTAGTATAAAAAATTGCTCAAAGGGGGTCCCCCCCCTTCAAAGTTTATTTTTATAAGAAATTAGATTAGTTATATTCAACCACATCACCACTTAAAGCATTTCCTGTACTTCAATTCATTGAACCATGAAGTCTTACTACTTGCTTCTTAGATCCCCTGACATTTAAATGAAACCTACAGGAATGAAATTGTTAAGAGTGAAGCTACTCAAATGGATTAAGACACAAGTTAATTATCTCATGACAAAATAGGCACAATTAATGTGTATATTGGAAATGTAATACATTTAATTGATAATGCTAGCTAGTATTCAACATTTATTAAGTACCTAAATTATAAAAGAAATCTGTGCCAAGTGTTGAAGATAAAATGATTAAAAATGACAATCAATGCCATCAAAGGGTTTATATCACATAGAGGAAAAGAGAGCATATACATCTCAAAGTATAATACAAATACAAGGTCGAATATTATGGAAAACAGAGAGTTGCTGATAAAGTGTTTAAGTAACATGTGAGGAAGGGCATAATATGTTTACTTTGGTGAGGAGTAGAATGGAATCAGAGAAAATGGAGATGAGCCTAGATTTAAAAAAAAAAATAAAAAGATTCTGAAAGTCCAAGATAAGAAGTGAGTGCATGTCAGACAGGTGGGATGGCCTATACAATGCGTGGAGGCAAGAACTGGCATGCTGAGTTCAAGAACAGTTAGGAATCTAGTTTGGCTAAAAGGTAGAGTGAATGATGAAGATAATAAGGTCAAAAAGCGCTGGAGGATAGGTTGTAAGCTGTTAGAACTCAACATGTCAAGCTGAAGAGTTTCTATTTTATTGTAGAGATGATAGTGTAAGGAGAATGGTAGGTGATGGTGTGGGCTCTAACATTCATTCCAATCAAAATACATGGTCTTATGGAAATAGTAGGTTAAAAGAGACAGAAAGCCCAAGATCATAATAAAAGAGAAGAATTTCAGGATTCAAAATCGGAGAGGCACAATAGGCTGTGGAGTACCAAGCTTTAAGGGTTACTCACCCTTGTGGGTGCACTAGGATAGAATGGTAGTTGCTAGAGTTGAAGAGGTTTAATGAACTGAGAAGATAAAGTATTTGTTGGGACATCAATATGAAAACTAAGTCCCCAAATATAAGGGCATGGGTTGAGATGTTAAGAAGACTAGGATATGAGCCAGGTATTCAACTTATAAAAGGAAGAACAGTGACTAGGTCAGAGGGTGGTAGCAATCAAGATCTGAAAAGGGTAAGATATTCATATAGTGTACATTTCAGAGAATGCTAGGTTGCTGAGTTATTGTCGCAGAATGGTGTCTCAAAGTGGCAGTGGGAGAAATGAAGTATCTGGAACCAGCAGAAGAGAAGATTTGAGAGTAAGAACCTCTGGCACTTGGAAGGGTAATAAGAGATGGGGTGTCTTTAGGAAGAAATTAGATGTTGGCCAGTATCACAAGATAAGTGAAGTATAAACAGCAGATATATTATGTAAGTTTTCACTTCCTGCTACAATAAATAAGTCATAATGACCTAGTGTGCCACTGCCATTCAGATTAACTCACATGAATGTTAATTTTAAATATTAAATGAATTTAAATATTAAATCATTTTTGAGTCCTGTCATTCTCTGTGATCCCATTTGGGGTTTTCTTGGCAAAGATATTGGGGTGGTTTGTCATTTCCTTCTCCAGCTCATTTTACAGATAAAGAACTGAGACAAACAGGGTTAAGTGACTTGCCCAGAGTCACACAGCTAGTAAGTATCTGAGGCCAGATTTGAACTTATGAAGGCAAGTCTTCCTTACTCCAGGCCTGGCAATCTATCCACTGTACCACCTAGCTGCCCATTTAAAAATACGGCTATTTCCCATATGGCACTCATTTTTTTGAAAGATAATAGCAAAAATAGTACAAAACTACAAAAAAAAAAACGTAAAGACAAAACAGCTCAAATAGGTATATTTCCTAACTGTGGCTACTCCAAACATTAATAACATATACACACTGAGCATTTTCAATGAATGATCAATCTAGCAAAGTTAGCTTCAGAATGACACATATACACAATACAAGGTTGTCAGTTCATCCTGCAAAACCATGTCACAATCTAAATAGATATACCTATAATTCTGGTAACAGAAAATGCCTAAATAGATAATTTTAAAGCACAAATGTTTTAAAATACAGTTTTAAAAGCAGGGGTAAACTATCATGCTTCTCAAAACACAAAAAGGTCTTCAAATTTTTAAGCATTATGTTCATTTTTTCTATTCCTTTCTACGTTGTTTTCTTCCCCCACAATGAGTCATCCTCACCTGGTGTCTAGAGTTCTTTGCTATGTGCCCTGCATGACAAGCAAGAAATGACAGTGCATGGCAACAAGATGTTGCCATGGTGAGGATGTCAAAGAAATGAAGTCAAAATTAAACAGTGCGTTATAGTCTTTCTCGCTGCTTATAAATACTGCATAGTTGAGGTAAATTAATCTAAAGTATCTTATTATTTTCCTTTAATTTTGGCAAAAGCAGAATTTGAATGTAGTCCTACCTAAATGCAGGAATATTATTTAGTGTTTTTATACCTTTTAAAAATACATACGCAATTTCTTTTATGTCTCAACACTGGTCTCTAGCATAGCCATGGCTTAAAAAAATCATGTGAAGTGGTAAATAAAAGGTCTTATTCGTCCCCTGATATGATGATGGGGTGCAGCATACTTAAAATTATGTCATTTCCATGACCCTTCTTTCAATAAATACCCCTACAGCTATTGCAAGGAGCCCAGGGTTCAATCACTTGGGGGGGGGGGCAGGGGGGGAACAGATAAAGAAAATTAGATGTCCTCTCGGGAATCCTTCCAGAATTGTTGACATTCAAGCTGCCCTTGTTCTAATGAACCACCCTATTTCTACCAGCTAGAAAGGAAGTCATCTGCTACTGTTTCCAAGCAGCCCAAGTATTACAGATTGTCTGAAGCTCTTTTTCTGTGTGTCGTTCAGGTAGGCCTTTTGCCATTTTATCTTGCTTCAATATCCTGCCATCGTCCAATGTGCATCATCTCAGCAGATGAAAGTCTTTAAACAAAGCACAATGTTCTCACTGCAGGCAGAATGAAACTCACTAGAACACTGTTCTGTCATTTAATATTTAAAATTTTTTTTTATCTTTTGTTTTTACATCAATTATTAGAAATTTTCTAACTGTCCTTCCTTTATTCTCTCCCAATGAACCATTCCTTATCATAAATGGGCAGGGGGAGGAAAAAAAATCAGCAAAACTAACATCATAAAAGTCTGATATCGCATGTAGCGTTCCATGGCTATGGTCCTCCCATTTCTGAAAAAGCAGGTTGATGCATTCTTCTCTTACTTGATCGTTATAATTTTACAGCATTCAGTTTTAATTGTTGTCATTTTTTCTCCATCTACATTTTTACAAATAGTTTTCCTGATTTTGCTTACCTCACTTTGCATCAGTTCCTGTAAGTCTTTCTGTGCTCCTCTCTAGTCATCATTTCTTATAGTACAGTTATATTTGACTACATCTGTGTACCGCAATTTGTTTAACCATTCCTCAAGTGATGGCCATCTATTTCATTTCCAGTTCTTTACTACTATAACTATTTTGGTGTACATGGGTCCTCTCTTCTTTCCATCGACCTTCACTGAGGTATACACCTCACAGCAGAATCTCTAGTTCAAAAGGTATGGCCATTTTAATCACTTCGAACAATTCCAAATAGATTTCCAAAATGGTTGGATCAATTCACAGTTCCACCAATAAACACCAATATGACCTGTGTAAACATGGCTTATGGTAACCAATAATACTGCTTATTACTAATAATAGCATATACATAGCACCTGAGGTTTGCAAAGCATTGTAAAATGCTGACTTGTAAAAGTTATCTCATTTGATTCATAAACAAACCCTAGGATATTTTATTATTATTGCCACTTTACAGATGAGGAAACAGAGTCTGATATACCAACCACAATCCTAAATAACCCACATATTAACTGAATCAACCTATGAGCATTAATTACATGGCTATAAATTTGCCAGGATTGTGTTAGATGCTGGGGATACAAAAATAAATTTAACAGCTGCTGCCCTAAAGAACTTACATTCTACTGAGGGAGACAACATATACATAAATAAGTATGTGCAAGATAAATACAAAATAACTTTGAAGGGAAGGACATTAACAGGTAAACAAATCAGGAAAGGTTAAATATAGAAGGTGGCATTTGAGCTGTGTTTTAAAGGAAATAAAGAATTTCTAAGAGGCAAAAGTGAGGCAAGAATTCATTCCAGGCATGGGGAACAGCCTGTGCTCAGAGGCCAAGTTTACTTTTTCCCTAAAAATTTAGTGGCTTCATTAAAGGGACTAATAAAAAGCACAACATTAATCTGTTCAGAGTTTTACTTAAGTGGCAGAATATAGTCAAAGCATTCCTCAATGCAAAATGAAAAGTGACATCATTCTTTTATTTTTAATTTATGGAATAAAACAAGCATTTCCATAACACAGTATAATAAAAAAAGATGATTGCACATGAAACTTCAAATCTATTATGTACAACTTGCTATTCCTTTTAAATATATAGTTATCATGTAAATTTCTTTTTTCTTCTTCCCTCCCCCTTCTCCTCTGCCCTAGAGATAGCCACCATTAGACAGAAATACATATATAATATGCAAAATCATTCTATACATACTTCTATTTATCAATTCTTTCTCTGGATACAGATAGCATCTTCCTTCCTATATCTTTTGTAGCTAATCTGGGTATTTATAATAGTCAAAATGACTTAGTCACTCAAAGTTGTTCTTAAAACAATACTGCTGTTACTATATACAGCATTCTCTTGGTTCTGCTCATTTCACTCTTCATTATTTCATGCCAGTCTATTCATGTTTTTCTAGGATA